AGCGTTCCCTAACAACCCAACTAAAATAGCCTCACTTGCTCCCTGTCCAATCCCTGGTTTGACTTCTTTCCAGAATTCTTTTTTTGATTTGTTAACTTATTCATTGTCACTCTACCCTCCTCTTGCCCCAGGCTAGGAGGTTGTGAGGAAGGTGACCAGGGCCATTTTGTCCATTCATGAATCCATCACCTCTACCAAACCCTCCCAGGCCCCTTCTCTTCTCTGTCTGAGTTAAGGGCTCTGGGCTCTCCTCAGCAGCTATAGCTGTTCATTCAAGTCTGCAAATATCTGGACTTGGGTCTCTCTGACTACCCCGCTGGACTGTTAAGCTCAGGAAGGTGGGACCCAGGGCTACACCCCAGCTTTGTCCTGTACAACACAGATGCTTGAGAAATATTTTTGCCTTAATGAAGGCTGCCACATGGCACGCTCCTGCCAGGTAATGCTGGGGACAGTGATGAATCAGCCCCAGTCATGACCTCTGGGAGCTCGATGACAGGTGAAGAAATATGGTTACCCAACACAGGTGACAGCCATGAGGGAATGCCACTCGGGGCTGGAACAAGACTGAACTCACAAGCTGGAGAGTCATTGTGCGTTGCTCCCCAAGACCGAGCTGGTACATGATGTGGGCTGGTACATTCCGTCCTGGGCTGGGTGGGGCTGTGGGAAGGTGGGGTTCACAGAGGGCAAAGGCCTGGCACTGGAGCCGACGGAAACCCTTCGGTTCAAATCCCAGCTCTGCTATTTCCTGTGTGACCATGGGCCAGTCATCAGCCCTCTCTGAACCTCTACTTCTCCGTCTATAATATAAGGATAGTAGGCCTTTGTGCAGTTGCCTTGGGATTAAAAGAGATTGAAAGCCCTGGTCTTGTCCCCGAGTACTTTTTTTCCTCATGCCCTACATCCAATTAGTTAGAAAATTGTTTGCCTTTAAAATCTAGCTAGAGGCTGGGCATGGTGGCTCATGCCTGTAATCCTAGCACCCTGGGAAGCCCAGGTGGGAGGATCACCTGAGCTCAGGTGTTTGAGTCCAGCCTGAGCAAGAGTGAGACCCCCCATCTGTAAAATTAGCTGAGTGTTGTGGAAGGCCCTGTAGTCCCAGCTACTCGAGAGGCTGAGGCAACAGGATTGCTCAAGCCCAAGAGTTAGAGGTTGATGTGAGCTATGATGCCACGGCACTCTAGCCAGGGCTATGAAGTGAGACTCTGTCTCAAAAAAATAGCAAACAAAAGAAAAATCTATCTAGAATCTCTCCACTTCTGCCACCTCCAAGGCTCTGCCTTGGTTCCACTATACTCATTTCCCACTAACTCCTTGAGTTCCCTGCCCCCTCCCTGTCCCTGGAGTCCATTCTTTACACACAACCAAAGGGACCTGTGAATACCTGCCTGTGATCTCGTCCTTACCCTGTTCAGAGCCCTCCTGGGGTGCCACCTCGCTTGGGCCAGAGGCTTCAGACAATCTGCCCCTGTCACTTTCCTGTCCTCACCCCCTCACCACCTCAGCTTCAATTCCACTAGCACTGGCTATTCCCTCTCCCTGGCATGCTGTTCCCCCAGACATCTCTCTCCTTCCTCTAGATTTTGTTCAGTATCACCTTCTCGGAGAGGCCTCCTCCCATTCCCCTTCCCTGCTTCATTTTTCTTCAGAACACTTAAATGTGAACTTCTCTAAAGAACATGGGTAGTTATTTGTCCTTTGTCTCCTTCTGACCACAAACTCCCAGTGATTCTGTTCCTTCTGTAGCACCAGCCCCTAGGACGTAGTAGGTGCTCATTAAACATGGGTTCACTGGACCATAGATAGAATGAATGATGTAAGTGAAGGGCTCAGCACAGCCCGTGGCACTGAGCAACATGTAGCAAACAGAACGGCCATGTTAAGGCCAGGTGCAGTGCCTGTTATCCCAGTGCTTGGGAGGCTGAGGTGGGTGGATTGCCTGAGCTCATGAGTTCAAGATCAACCTGAGCAAGAGTGAGACTCCTGTCTCTAAAAATAAAAAGATAGAATAGCCAGGCATTGTGGTGGGTGCCTGTAGTCCAGCTACTTGGGAAGTTGAGGCAAGAGGATCACTTGAACCCAAGAGTTTGAGGTTGCTGTGAGCTGAGAGGCCATAGCACTCTACTGAGGGTGACCAAATGAGACTCTGTCTCAAAAAAAAAAAAATGACCATGTTTAGGAGACTCAGATAGAGGGCCAACCTGCTGGGTGCACAGGAGATAGGCACGTACAGCCAATGTAACACCTGTGCCATGTGACATGCACAGGAAGTTACAGGTTGCAGGGACGGAGACTCTGAGGCTTCCAAGAGGCAAAGCTGAGCAAGGCTTTTGAGGCTGCACAGATACTAGCCCACTAGGGGCTGGGGCAGGGGGAGGTGGTTCCAGAAAGGACAGCAGGGCTGTGGAGAGAGCTGTGAAAAGGCTAGGGGGTCAAAGGTCTCTGGATTCATTCACCAAGAGATATTTATTTGCTAAACTCCTTTGTTTGCTCAAATCAGCCAGAAGTGGTTTGTGTTGATGGAAACTGAGAACCATGAAAGAAACACACTCCTACTAAGATTACAGGGCTAGAGATCCTCTGGTGGCTCAGACAAGGTTTCTGCCCTCATGGAGCTTAAATTCTACTGGAGGAGGTGGAGAAGAAGCCATGGAAACAGGAATTCTATGGTATGGCAATTCCAGATAGTGTTCAATACTATAAAGAAAATATACTGGCATTGGCCAGGCTCAGGGACTTATACCTGTTATCCTCTGGGAGGCCAAGATGGGCAGATTGCTTGAGTTCATGAGTTT